TGATCATAATCTAATCAAGTTACAAATGCTAAAAACATGACCAAACCCATAACTATGGAAGCCCAAATATTAGAAACAAGGGCGTAAGTAACCCTTCAATTGAAGAGGACTTAAAAACTGAAACCGTAAAAATGCCAGAAAGCAGCCGGACGTGGTCACTCACACCTGTAATCCCAGCACTTTGGGAGGCCAAAGCAGGAGGATCACAAGGTCAGGAGTTTGAGACCAGCCTGGTCAACATGGTGAAACTTCGTCTCTACTAAAAAAAAGATACAAAAATTAGCTGGGCATGGTGGCACGTGTCTGTAATTCCAGCTACTCAGGAGGCTGAGGCAGGAGAATTGCTTGAACTCGGGAGGTGGATGTTGCAGTGAGTGGAGATCGCGCTACTGTACTCCAGCCTGAGCAACACAGTGAGACTCTGTCTCAAAAAAATAAAAAATAAAAAATTCCAGAAAGCATGAAAGATAAACACTGAATGTCTAAACTTAGGGTCCATGACTAGAACATTTTTGGGAGGAAATTCATAGTCTTTCGTTTTAAAGAAGAGCAGAAAGTATAGGAACTTCATTGCCATCTTAAAAAATTTAAAAGAAACAAAACAAAATAACCCCAAATAAGACAGGAAGAGATAATTAATGAAGAGAAAAGCAGAAAATGGACAATGGTGAACAGTAAATCTGCCTACACTAACACCAAGGGCATGACACACAGCTGCTGCCACGATTCTGCAGTGTTTCAGAGGTTCTCGTGAGGTGCATGAGAAAATAAGACACAGTCATGTGCCACATAAGGCCGTTTCGGTCAACAGCAGGCCGCATGTACGACAGTGCCCTGGAAGGCGACAGCACCGAACTCTCATGTTGCATTTTCTTTTCTTTTCTTTTCTTTTCTTTTCTGCTTTCTTTCTTTTCTTTTTTCTTTCTTTCTTTCTTTCTTTCTTTTTTTTTTTTTGAGACCTGTTTCCCAGAATGGAGTGCAATGGCATGATCTTGGCTTACTGCAACCTCCACTCCTGGGTTCAAGCCGTTCTCATGCCTCAGCCTCCCAAGTAGCTGGGATTACAAGCGTGTGCCACCATGCCTGGCCAATTTTTGCATTTTTAGCAGAGATGGGGTTTCACCATGTTGGCCAAGCTGGTCTCAAACTCCTGACCTCAAATGATCCACCCACCTTGGCCTCCCAAAGTGTTGGGATCACCACACCTGGCCTCACGGTGCCTTTTCTATGCTTAGATGCACAGCCTCACCCTGGTGCTGCTGCCGCTGTGGTGTTCAGTGTGGTGTCTGCTATGCAGGTTTGCAGCCCCTGAGCAATGGCTGTGCCACATGGCCTAGGTGTGTAGGAGGCTGCATCATCTAGGCTTGTGAGGGGAGATTCCATGACAGTCCCACAGTCACGAACGTGTTCCCGTCAACAGAGGATGGTAATAAGAGTTATATCATAAAAGAAGACAGCCAGTTCTGTCTCCGTCTCTCCCACCTCTCTTCTGGAAGACACGATCCTATATCTAAGAAACTCAAGACAGTGCAGTAAAATCCTCCCAGAACGCATCGCGGAATGTGGTAGCATGGCTAAATACAATATCCATACCTCAGAATTAATAGTTTCCCCCGCACTGTCAAGAACAAGCTAGAAACAGGAACAGGAATGACGTTCCACTTACAATAATGAGGAAAACATACAATAAGTAAGAAAATACAACCTACTTAGAAATAAATTTAACAAGGAAATCTGTAGAACCTATCTCAGAAAAAAAATCATCGATTTAGATTGTATGGTGCCGGATTCTTGGTGGGCAGGCTTAATATCATAATGATGTCAGCTGCATTAACATTAATGTGTAATTGTATGTAATCCGGATTGCACCTGCAGCTTAAGCTCCAACGCTTTTGTTCTCTGTGGGGCTTTGGATAAAATTAAGGTTCATATGGCAGAATCGATGTCAAAGGAGACTCAACCCAAGTGTAACAAAGAAGTGAAAATGCACCTTGCGGAGGCCCGGGACGTGCCTGCAGCGCCACAGAGACGGCTCCTGAGGCTGGCAAGCGTGGGGAGATGCACACTCAGCCCCTACGGGAAAGGTGGGCGGCCGCAGCCATTTCGGAAGGAGCATGAACACGCGCGGAGTGCACCCGCGTCCCACTCCCGGGCGGCGGCCTGCTGGGCCGGGCTCTTCTGTGGCAAACGTGCCCACACACGCTCGCGCGCCGTCTGTCTGGGCAGCGGCCCTGGCGTGTGGCTGGAGACAAGCTGGTGTCTTGGGCGTGTGGCCACAGGCCACCGCACGTCCACGGCAGGGAAGCCCCTGAGGCCTGGAGAGGGAGCAGGGGCTGCTGTGGGCGCCGCCGCCTGAGAGCCACAGGCAGACAAGCGTGTCGCAGAGCCCATGTTTGGAAAGCAAAAAGGAAAAACAGTCATGTATGAATATACCCATGTTGTTATGATTATCTAAAAATAGAAGGAGGATTGGAGGGTTACACACCAGGTTCATAGGGAACCCAAACTCTGAAAAACATAACAGGTGTTCCTTTCAAGCTCTCATGGAATGCTCACAAGGGCCAAGTGTCAGTCTGCACCACAATGAGATACCCACTCACACCCACCCAGACGGCTATTATCAAAAACCGGGAAATCACAAGTGCTGGCAACAACGTGAAGAAACTGGAGTCCTGTGCCTTGTTGTTGGGAATGAGAAACAGCGCAGCTGCTGTGGAAACAGTCTGGCAGTTCCTCAAAAAATTAAACATAGAATTGCCATATGATCTAGCGATTCCATTTCTGGTTATAGACCCACAAGAACTGAAAGCAGAGACTCTCACAGATACCTCCACACCCCTGTTCATAGCAGCATTAACCACAATAACCAAGAGGGATAAACAACCCAGGGTATCCATCAGCAGATGAATGGACAAGCACGATGTGGTGTAGACAGAATGGAATATTATGCAGCCTTAAAAAGGGATTAAGTTCTAACGCAAACTGCAACATGAATGAACCTTGAGGATACTGTGCCAAGTGAAATAAGCCAGACACAAAAGGACAAATACTGTAAGATTCCACTTACATGAGGTCCCTAGAGTAGCCAAATTCATTGAGACAGGAAGTAAAGTGGTGGGTGCCAGGGGCTGGGGGAAGGAGCGTGGGGAGTGAGTGTTTAATATAGACAGAGTTTCAGTTGGAAATGATGAAAAGTTCTGGAAATAGAGTGTTAGCTGCACAACATTGTGATTTTTTTTTTTTTTTTTTGAGACGGAGTCATGCTCTGTCGCCCAGACTGGAGTGCAGTGGCCGGATCTCAGCTCACTGCAAGCTCCACCTCCCAGGTTTACGCCATTCTCCTGCCTCAGCCTCCCGAGTAGCTGGGACTACAGGCGCCCGCCACCTCGCCCGGCTAGTTTTTGTATTTTTTAGTAGAGACGGGGTTTCACCATGTTAGCCAAGATGGTCTTGATCTCCTGACCTCATGATCTGCCCGTCTCGGCCTCCCAAAGTGCTGGAATTACAGGCTTGAGCCACCGCGCCTGGCCTATTGTGATGTACTTAATGCCACTAAATTGTGCACTTAAAATAATTTAAATGGTAAATTTTATGCTATATATTTTACCACAAAAAAAGAGAAGCATATACCTGACTTCAAACTATAATACAAGACTACAGTAACCAAAACAGCATGGTACTGGTACAAAAACAGACACACAGACCAATGAAACAGAATAGAGAACTCAGAAATAAGACTGCCCACCTACAATCATCTGATTTTCAACAAAACTGACAAAAACAAACAATGAGGAAAGGATTCCCTATTTAATAAATGGTGCTGGGAGAACTGGCTAGCCATATGAAGAAAATGGAAACTGGACCCCTTCCTTATACCTTATGCAAAAATTAACTCAAGGTGGATTAAAGACTTAAATGTAAAACCCAAAAGTATAAGAACCATAGAAGAAAATCTAGGCAATACCATTCAGGACATAGGCATGGGTGAGAATATCATGATGAAAACATCAAAAGCAATTGTAATGAAGAAAAAATTGACAAGTGGGGAGCTAATTAAATTAAAGAGCTTCTGCACGGCAAAAGAAACATCATCAGAGTGAGCAGACAACCTACAGAATGGCAGAAACATGTTTCAATCTTTCCATCTGACAAAGGTCTAATATCCAGAATCTACAAGGAACCCAAACAAAAGACATTTATGCGGCCAACAAACCTGTGAAAAAAAAGCTCAACATCACTGATCACTAGAGAAATGCAAATCAAAACTACAATGAGATACCATCTCACACCAGTCAGTATGATATTATTAAAAAGTCAAGAAACAACAGATGCTGGGAAGGTTGCAGAGAAATAGAAATACTTTTATACTGTTGATGGGAGTGTAAATTAGTTCAACCACCGTGGAAGACTGTGGCAATTCCTCAGAGACCTAGAACCAGAAATACCATTTGACTCAGCAATCCCATTACTGGGTATATACCCAAAGGAATATAAATCATTCTATTATAAAGATACATGCACGTGTATGTTCATTGCAGCACTATTCACAATAGCAAAGATATGGAATCAACCCAAATGCCCATCGATGATAGACTGGATAAAAAAAATGTGGTACATATATGCCATGGAATACTATGCAGCCATAAAAAAAGAATGAGGTCGGCCAGGCGTGGTGGCTGAAGCCTGTAATCCCAGCACTTTGGGAGGCCGAGACGGGTGGATCACGAGGTCAGGAGATCAAGACCATCTTGGCTAACACGGTGAAACTCCGTTTCTACTAAAAAATACAAAAAACTAGCCGGGCGAGGTGGTGGGCGCCTGTAGTCCCAGTTACTCAGGAGGCTGAGGCAGGAGAACGGCATGAACCTGGGAGGTGGAGCTTGCAGTGAGCTGAGATCCGGCCGCTGCACTCCAGCCTGGGCGACAGAGCGAGACTCCATCTCAAAAAAAAAAAAAAAAAAAAGAAAAAAGAATGAGGTCATGTCCTTTGCAGGGATAGGAATGGGGCTGGAAACCATTATCCTCAGCAAACTAACACAGGGACAGAAAACCAAACACCGCAAGTTCTCACTCATAAGTGGGAGTTGAACATTGAGAACACATGGACACAGGGAGGGGAACAACACATACTGGGGCCTGTGGAGCAGGGGAAGAGAGAGCATCAAGAAAAATAGCTAACGCATGCTGGGCTTAATACCTAGGTGATAGGCGGGCAGGTGCAGCAAACCATCGTGGTACACGTTTACTACCGGTGTTACAAACCTGCACATCCTGCACATGTATTCCGGAACTTAAATTTTTTTTTTTTTTTGAGATGGAGTTTCACTCTTTGTTGCCCAGGTTGAAGTGCAGCGGCACAACCTTGGCTCACTGAAACCTCTGCTCCCCGGGTTCAAGAGATTCTCCTGCCTCAGCCTCCCAAGTAGCTCAGATTATGGGCAGATGCCACCATGCCTGGCCAATTTTTTTTTTTTTTAATTTTTAGTAGAGATGGGGTTTTCACCTTGTTGGTTAGGCTGGTCTCAAACTGCTGACCTCAGGTGATCTGCCCTCCTCGGCCTCCCGAAGTGCTGAAATTACAGGCGTGAGCCACCTTGCTCGACCTTAAAAAATTTTTTAAAACAGAGAAGCATAAAGTTTAAATGATTTATAATCCCACCTGTCAAAAAAAAGTTAGACCACCTCTGTTGACATTTGTCTTTCTTGATGTATTAATCTCAATATGTTTTCCAGAGCAGAAATAAAGCTCCATGCTTTGGCTCAGAGCCATGGCACAGGTGCAGCACAACCAGGAATAAAAAATCCTTGTCCAGGTGTGGGGGTCACACCTGTCATCCCAGCACTTTGGGAGGGTGAGGTGGCCAGATCGCTTGAGCCCAGGACTCAAGACCAGCCTGAGTAACATGGCAAAACCCTATCTCTACAAAAAAAAATTATGAAAAATTAGCCAGGCATGGTGGCGTGCACCTGTTGTCTCAGCTACCTGGGAGGCTGAGGTGGGAGAATCTCTTGAGTTTGGGAGGTGGAGGTTGCAGTGAGTCAATACCCTGGCTCAAAAATAAATAAACAAATAAAATTTTAAAAAAAATCCTCCTCCTGGTCCCTTGTAAATGTAACATCTCTCTAACAACAAATGAGTTGGAAAATATTAAAACCATGGTTACCGCATCTCCAGGAACTGGATGTATTGAGGCCTCGATCTAGCGGCATCTAGGGGTTGACCCCTGCTGTCAATTCCCTGAAACACTCACGTTCCCGGCAAGCCCAGCCACACACAGCAAAACACACCTCACTGCAACCGCTAGAGAAAAAGCAGCCAAACAAACCAAGGCAGGCAGAGGAAAGGAATTTGCAAAGCTAACGGCAAGATTAATCCATCAAGAAAGACAAATGTCAAAAGAATCAGCAGCTCAGGAGGTGGCTCTTGAACCTCCCATGAAACAGGCATCGGGCAGCTGCTCAGAGTGAAAAGACAGAAAGAAGCCCGGGACACACAAAATTAGGAGAAATGACTGGGAACTAGCCACACTCAGACGGGAAATAAGATGGTCAAATAATAGTTTACACACGCTTTCCTAATACACTTAAAAACTTGAATGAAATGGATTGTCTTTAAAACCCGTTGTAAAAATCCGAGAACGATGTCTAAGAATTCACAGATGGATTCTTTCAAACATTCAAGAAACAGATAATTCCAATGATATTTAGAATGTTCTTGGAACGGAGAAAAAGAAGGAAATCCTCTGGGTTATTTTTGTGAAATTAACATAAGAGCAATGCCAACAATTGGTGGAGAGATAGCGATACAGATAGAGGGAGCGCGGGTGCGCGGGCGGCAGGCCGGGCTCCAGCGAGAATGTCAGTGCTGAGTGCCGGGCCAGAGCGGGAGAGTCTGGCGTTCCTGACTGAATTCCACGGGAAACACAATGAGTACTCAGTGGGGCTCCTTTTAGCAAAGTGAGGATGGTTCAATATTCACACACAATTATGCTCCTCACACTCTGAGCCATATCTCGCGGGTGCTATTCTCAGGGCTGGCGGTGGCTCTCGGCACCCCACGTCCTCGCCCACAGACAGAGGAATGGGGATGACTCCCCAAGGCCCCTTCA